GTTTTTTGAAAAGGACCCTCCTTTTCCCTTTCTCTTCTTTTTGTTTAATGTTTTCTCACGAGATGTCTTTCAGAACAGCACACCCAAGCGTCATGGGTACGCGGACGCAATGATCAACCCCAACGCAGGGGGAAATGAAAGAAAAGTGAAATATTAAAACCCTGAGACACGAATTCCCTCCTCTGCATCCTGCTCGTACTGGGAAAAGGGGCACGGTCTGCTTGAAAGTCAGGAGGGTCAGTGGGGGAATGCTTTCAGCCCAAGGTTTTCAGGTCTAGCAGAGCATAGTAACATCCCTTCAAAGAGGAGGGTGTTGCTCAGACAAGCTCTAGAGGCCCTGGTTTGGATCCCCCGCTTGAAAACCAAACATCCCTCATTTTCACATGCCGGCCGTGATGGCCAAACAGTAATTCAGGCTGGTTTTGTAAAGGTGGGGAAACTTTCACACCATTAGCCAGGACTCATTAATCACCCTGGTGTGAAATGGGAATGTGCCGGCTTCCTCTGCAGACTAGAGTTTGTGCCCCATCCTGCCCGTCCAAACGTAGCAATTGGGGGTTGAGAAATTAGGTCCACTGCTTTGAAGGAAAGCAGGAGGAGAGAGAGATTCCCCTGGGGAGTGGGAGAAGGGCCGGGGCGGGGGGTAAAAGCCTCAAACTACTCAGCAATTCCCTGCTGTTTTTGTAAGGAAAAACATCACAACCCTGGAGAAATTCTTGCTGGGGGAAGGATGGTAGTGAGGCAGTGACATGCTGGTAGAAAGCCTCATCATATGCTTTTTAATTTTTTTTTAAGTATGACTCTAGAGGAAATATTAGTTTTTAATTAAGATCTGGTTTTTAAAACATAACAAAATATTGTGGGTTTGCAATGCAATTTAGTTACTATTTGCTAATTCTGGGTGCTTTTAAATGGAGCTCTTAATGCTACCAGTTCAAGGCTATTGTTAACTATTCTGTCCTTTCCTCCTTAATGTTGCTTCTGATTAAACAATGAAGAAAATCAAAGAGAAAACCACAGTAGTATTATAAATGAAAGACATTGGTTGGACTCCCAAAGCACACAAAACATTTTGTGAATTCTTACTGAGGAATGGAAAAAGTGCCTCATCTGGAATTTATTGTAATCACAGGTACTAGTCAGTAGATAGATACCCATTATTTGAAATGTATTTTTCACAGTGTTGGGAGTAGGATTGTACTTGTTAGCACTGAAACAACAATAAAACAAATCAACCTAAAATATTAACATCCCAGAGACAAAATATGATTTGGATCATTATGGAAAGGCAGTAACACAAGTCTGATGGAAGATCTCTGGATCACATGTAGCACAAGACTGGCAATCCATTTTTAAAGTGGATTTCTAGAAGATCCTGTTGCTCTCTTTTACGATTATAGTCAGATTGATCTAGAAAAATATTAATCACAGGGCCTTTTCTCCATTACTCAGTTAAAGTGCTATCTACCCATCCTTGAGTCACCACAAAACAGTGCCAGCATAACATTTGCTGTCTGTATTGCGAATTCCTCAATTGCACCTTTTCAAGAGGTGTTGTCTTGCTTTGTGAGTGTGCCACTTGGTCTTGTCAAGGCAGTTGTTTTTCCCTTTTGGCCTTGCTGCTGCTCTTTCAGGACTCTGCTTGTCCTCTGTGCGATGATTTGTCTGTCCCTCTTACATACCCACACTGTGCATCTCCTAAAAATCAAGGCTTTATAGTTTATTATTCAGTCAATCATTGGAGGGAGGAGAAAAGAAACTGAGCTCAGGGTGATAACTGGAGCTAACCTGTTTGAAAATAGATTAAAAATACAACAAAGGAATAAATAATAAATCACCCTACTAGGAATTCCTGCGGAGTCACATGGGAAGTTATTTATTTATTGTATTTCTATTTAACTTTTTAGACAATTGTTTCCTAAAGCATCTCACATCAGTTAAAACTATTTCCTCTTTTGCATTAATCTATGGCTATCTTTAAAAAACAAATTAACCATCCATGAGACGGTGGTGCTCTAGCCTCTTGTGAAAAACCTCCAGAGATTGAGAACTTACAGTCTCTATAGGTAGACTATTCCACTGACATCCGATGTCGCTTGCCACAAAATAGAACAGTTCTTGTAGGTCTTCAGAAGTGACAAAGCAAAATAAGAGAAGATTTGGCTAAAAGACTTTCCTCCTTTGCACCTAACTGGGGTACAAGCATGCCCTGCAATATTGCCTTCTGTGATGTGATGTTTATCTCATCTCTCCATGGCTGTGTTGATAGATTTTGCTGCAGACCATGGTTATTTTTCTTTTAAAGTGATTCTTGATGCTTTAGTATGTTTGTAAATTGGTTTTTAACTTGTTTTTATTGTATTGTTGTTTTTAACTGTTGTGAGCTACCCAGAGTCACTTAGGTGAGATCGGTAGCCACACAAATCAAATAAACAAATAAATAAAATCTCCAGTTAAGTCATTTTTAGCTTTATTGCTATTAAAGTAGCATTTCCCCTCTTATTCCAGGAGTAGATCAAGCTATATAAAATCCATCTCAGTTTTCCAGTACGGCCAGAAATTCCTTTGCCTTTGAGGACACACAAGGGCTTTAGAAGTGTGGAAGGGGTCCAGGAATCCAGAGAATTTCCTCTAATTAATACTAAATGTATTTATGTATTCATTTGCTTGGATTCTCCACAGAGTTATAAATACGTAGGTTTTGAAATCATAGAAGAAACAGTTTCATTTTTATCAACCGAAATGATCAGCAGTGCCAAACAGTTCCATCATTTAGTCAGCGCGCCCAAATCTCAAACTTCCTGCTAGCCACAGACTAGCAGGGTGACATGGATCGGAAAGGCATTTTTGCTGCCCTTTTGAGGATTCTTGGGAGGAAGGGAGAGTGATTTTTTGCATTTTTAAAAATGTCCGGTCTACGAGGAAGATTGTGGGCACAGAAAGGAGCACTGTCTTTCACACGCTGCCTCCAGTCTCTGCTGCCTGCACCCTTTGGGGAGCGTTCCAAGATCTGGACTTCTTGACCTTGGAAATTCTTCCCTTGAAGGCCATGGGAAGTAGGAGGGAGACTCCTTGTGCAAAGACGGTGCTCCTTCTATTTGCGTTGTATAATTTGGGAGTCTTTCAAACCAGACTTTTTATTAGGCAACTGCCCTGCCTCGTTCATGGAAATTTATGGGGGATTAGTTTCCAAACATCCTCATTCTTCACTTGTAACCCTCCTGTGTTTTCCCACCATTTAGACAGAAACCTTTGTTAGTGAAGAAACAGACTGCATAATGTCTGGTGATTAACTGTGCTAGGAGTCCTCTGTCTGGAGGCGCTTGTCTATCTGGCTGCAGTATGTTTGCTCTGTTAAAATCAGATTCAAGCATTTGTGCCTGCATTCCCTACCAAGTAGGCTAACAGGTCCATAGTATCCTTTTGATATAAAGGTCGATATTCAAACTTACAGAAACAACATATATTGATTAAAAATAGCAGTGACAGATAAAAGGACAAGAATAGAAATTCCAAGTAAATATAGTATGACTTGAATTGGTTTGTGTTTCATCTGGTGCTTGCATATTAATTTTCCAGATAGATTCCTTGGCAGTTGGCCTCGGGGGCTCCAGATGATCTGTGACAGGTAAGCTACCTACAATCATCAAACACTCTCTTAATCTGTTCTTTGTGCTTAGTCTGAATAAGACAAATCCAAAATAATAGTAGTAGCCTTCAAGCCTAGCTAAAAAAAAAAAAAAAAAAATTAAAAGTGACAATTTCCAAGAAAGGCATTGGTACTTATCATTATCATTGGGTTACACTCATGGGTTGCCTAAAAGGGATGTTATTTTAATGAAAGCAACGAAGGATTTGAGAGACTAATTTAACTGCAACATGTTACATGAGGCTGGAAATTGCAGACCAAAGCTAGCACAGGAATCTGTAAACAGTGAGCAAATGAAGAGGTAAAGTTACAGAACTGGAGCATATTCAGGAATCTAAACCAGTGTTTCTCAACGTTGGCAACCTTAAGATGCGCGGACTTCAACTCCCAGAATTCCCCAGCCAGCATGCTGGCTGGG